GATCAAAATCCGTCAACAACCAACGAAAGATTTGGACGAGAAACTGCGAATGGACGCTGCAAAAGGTGATAAATGCTCTGAGACTTCAGCTGACCTGAAGTCAGCTGAGCTTTTTTAATTTTGTGGAACATCGAATGATTTTCTTTCTTAGCTTCAGTGCTGAGCGCAAGTTCGCCACCACCGCCCAAGCGGGCCTCACCGGATCGTCTGGCCGAGTTGATCGAAGAGCCGGACGAGCCGAGTAAGACGGTCCTGCGACGAATCATTCGTGACGAGGATCTGCCCGACTCTATTGGGCCAGATTCACCTTTCCGCCATCATCCTAAATACCAGGTAAATATTGAATTTCCATTTTTTCTGCAGTTTTTTTGTTTTCGTAAAAGTTGAAATTTCCAAAAATATCTTTGGTCATTGAAAATCATATCCTTGAAAAGTTCTCCCGATTACCTAAGGAATCTGTAGAACGTGAACTTTAAGGGCAAAAGACCTGTCATCATCATCTCCATCACGAATTGCCCTTTGAATTTTTCGACTTGACTGGTTGAATTTGGAGAAAATCTGACCTTTTCCCCGGTTCTTTCTTTGCCACTACCTGGCCCCCCGTTTTCTTCTGCCCCCTACCCACTTCCAAAGAGTGTGGTGATACGTGAAAAGTGCACTCTATAAACATTATCGACACATTGTGGCTGGCTGTGTGTGTCTGACATACTGTGAAACACGTTGCGAAATGTTGAAAAACTTTCGTTTTCGTGATTCTCATGTAGTAGGTGGGGGCAGCAGAACACGGGGGGCCAGAAAAAAAGTCTCACGCTGATAAAAAAGTCACAATTGTTTTGAATGTTTTGCGAATCAGGCGCTGTTTTGGGCAAGTTTCTGAATCGAATCGATTTTTGTTTCTAAATGGGGAACTTTGGACTCCTGAAGGCATCGTTCACTCAGACTGAGAAATCTAAGTTTGAAAAAATTGAGAAAATTTTCATGTTGTATAATAGCGGAGCCCTTAACTAGGTAAT